ACTAACTCTTCAATCCATGTTGGAATTACTTCATCCCTTGTAGACGCTGATTGAACCTGAAATTACTTAATATAAATTTAGACTATTCAATAACATATAGTTTATAAAACCAAAAAAAATTGACTCACATAGTATTTTAGCCACTTTCCAAAGTTTTCTTGTTTCATGATGTCTATTTCAGAATCGTCTTTATGTGGATACACATTCTTAACTTGTTGAACAAATATGCTGATAGATAACCCAAATCAGTTAACCATTAGTACACAATTAGTTAAAAGTTAAACTACATGGATGAAAGTTTTAAAGAGAATGAATATACCTCTTATACGGTAACAGCTCCTCACAGTTATGAAGTATATAAGTGTGAACATGGTTGTATTCTTCCTCTGTCAACCAAACCGGTTTTCATTTACCACTAAGCCTCCCAACTTCTGCAAAGATATCAGGTACATAGGTATGGTATAGAGGCTTTTCCCCACCATCATCATAGCGACCTGGTTTTCTAGCTTTTGTTTGAACTTGTGGTGCGAAGTAGTATGAAGAGAAGTATGATGTCTCCTCATTGATGCTTTGCGCAACAATTGAACCCTCTACCTTGCTTAAATTTTTCACTTTCTTTTTTAGGTGAAACATGAATCTTTCAAATGAATACATCCACCTATACTGAATAGGTCCACCTAGTGCTGCTTCGCGAGTAAGATGAATTGGAAGATGCTCCATAACGTCAAAAAATGATGGTGGAAATACTTTCTCTAAATTGCATAAGAGGACAGGAATGTTCTCCACCAAAAGAGCTATGTCGTTGGCTGTAAGGGATCTTGAGCAAAGATCTCTAAAAAAAGCACCTATACCTGTAATTTTTTATTTTCTTATTAGTAAACAATAATATGTAGAAAGAATAAAAATTAAATAAGTAATTATGTATACCTGCTGCTGCATGATGAACATTTTTGGGTAAAAGTTCTGCAAGTGCGAAAGGGAGTAAACACTGCATAAAAACATGGCAATCATGACTCTTCATTCCAGATAATCTGCCGTTATTGTTGTCTACACAACGTGAGAGATTAGATGCATAACCATCAGGAAACTTAACACTGTGAATAATCCATTGGAATAACACGTTCTTTGCATTTGTATCTAATCTGAAAATTGGAATTGGGCCTTTTCCATCATTCATCAAATGTAGCTCAGAACGCCGACATATATCAGGAAGGTCCAATCTTGATTTCAAATTATCCTTTGTCTTCCCTTGCACATTCAAGATAGTATTCATGATATTCTCAAAAAAGTTCTTCTCAATATGCATCACATTCAGATTATGCCTTAGCAAATGATCCTTCCAATAAGGTAACTCCCAAAAAACACTTTTTTATGCCAATTATGGTTAACACCATATCCAGCGATAGGAACATGTCCATTACCACCTACTTTGGTTGTTTTTTCTGCACCAAATTTTGTGAATTGCGTAAGTAGATATTCTCCCGATAGCTTTGGAGGCGCTTCATCTTGTACAACTTTGTTGCTTCTAAACATTGTCTTGTTTCGTCGATATGGATGATTCTTCGGTAAGAAGCAACGATGACAATCAAACCAACAAGATTTCCTTCCATGTTTAAGCTAAAATGATTGTGTATTATCTTGACAATGTGGACATGAAAGCCTTCCATGCGTGGTCCACCCGGATAACATTCTGTACGCTGGGAAATCACTGATCGTCTACATTAAAACAACACGCATAACAAAATTGTTCCTTAAGGAAACATCATACGTATCTACACCTTGGTCCCACAACCCTTGTAACTAATGAATCAACAGCTGTAAGAACACATCAAGTGATCATCTAGGGTGTTTTGGTCCAGGGACAAGAATGGTTAGAAACAAAAACTCTCGTTTCATGCATAGAGCTGGAGGAAGGTTGTAGGGTGTGATGATTACAGGCCAGAGTGAATATTGGCATCCAGCTTTGCCGAATGGGTTGAATCCATCTGTACATAATCCCAGGTACACATTCCTAGGCTCACTTGCAAACATTGGATATACCGAATGAAAATGTTTCCATGCTTCAGCATCAGAAGGATGTGAAATCTCTCCGTCTGAGGAATGTTCTGCATGCCATCTCATAGGTCCTGTTGTGCGCTCGGACTGGTAGAACCTCTTCAGCCTATCCTTAATTGGCAAATACCACATACGTTGATACGGTAATCGACTTCTCCCACTTGTAACCTGAAATCGTGGTTTCTGACAAAATTTGCACACGTCTCGATTTGCATCTTCTCCCCAAAAGATCACGCAGTTATCAACACACACATCTATCATCTGGAATGGTAATCCAAGCGCTGATACCAATTTCTGTATTTCATAGTAAGAACTAGGAGACAGATTCGGCTCTGGCAAATATTCCTTCACGAAATCAGCTATCGCATCAACACAATCCTCTAACAAGTTATATTCTGTTTTTATGTTCATCATTCGAGTTGCAGCTGACAAACGTGAATGACCCTCTTTACAACCATCATAAATTGGATTCTTTGCTGCATCTAGCATATTAAAAAACTTCTTTGCTTCTGAATTTGGTTCTTCACTAGTATTTCCAGATTCCATCGTTTCACGAAAAGCATCGGTCACCATCTGAACAGTACCTATTAGATTCTCAGGCATATTTTCTTGCTCTTCACTCCTATTATAATGCTCATGTTCCAAGTGATTTCCATTATCACCACGATGATTACTACTACTTGCTATAGTTTCAACATCTTCCCCATGAGCAAATCATATATAATATCCAGGCGTAAATCCTCGCATATATAAATGTTTCCAAATCGTATCCATCGAGATAAATTTTTCATTGCCACATGAAGAACAAGGACAGAACATCTTACCTCTCTCTAATGGAATCTCTTGATTTGTAGCGAATCGCATAAATTCAGCAAGGCCTTCTTTGTATTCTTTTGTTAATTCTCTGATAACTTCATTTATATGCTTGTACATCCATTCATGAGTTGTATGTTTAGCAGCCATAGAACAAAATTCTTTGATACGAGCTTGATCTATAACTTGATGAGATCTCGTAACTCGATCAGTAGGAGCTGGTAACTGCTTCCTCCTACAAACCGTGTTTACTGAGAGATTTAGCTTAAACTTTCTTTAACCCTAATCTGATTAAGATTAATGCTTGGAACTTGGTTTCTTATAGATCATATGAAACCTTTATATAAGGTTACAACTTAATGCAAAAAGGAAAACTATTAAAAGGAAAACACTAAAACCAATTAAAAGGAAAACACTAAAACCAATTGTTAAAAGGAAATCATCAAAATCCATTAATCCTATCACTTTTCTATTGTTATTGGTTTACGCCAAAGTCGATTTATTTGTGCTTGGCAGCCACGAAAAGATTTGTCTTTTTTTTTTTTTATCAATCTGAACAATCTTTTTTTACCACTACCACCACACGTAATGGATCCATCGATCATTTGGATTGAATTTATGAATTTCTAACAAATTTTTAGTTGACAATTTCCATTAAATTAATTTCATCATAATTTCCAACAATTTTAGAATTGTAGGAATATTCCAACAATTTTCCAATTAATTTTGTGATACTAGTCCAATAAGTTATATTTGTTGGAATTTTGTGACATATTTTCAATAAAATTGTTTTTAGATAAAAATTTATAAGAATTTTGTTGGAAAATTTCTAACAACACAAAATTATTGGAAATATTTGTTGAAAATTTACATGTTTTCTTGTAGTGAGTATTCAAGCGACAACATTGTCCACACGGTTATCAACTGTGGACGTTTGTCGGTGGATAACAAACTGTGGATACGTACTAAAGTACTCACGCTTATAGATTATTACAACACTACAAACGAAAATACAAACATTGTCCATGCAGTTATATCCAAGAATACCTCTAAATTTTACACATTTGGTTAATCCCTACAAATAGAACACAATTGAAAGGTAATGGGATGCATAAACATTGGGTTACATGGTCATGTACAGGGACGTTTAGAGACCCGATATGGATGACCCCTTGTAGATGGCTTAATACAATTATTACAACTCTACAAACATAAATACAACACTATCCACACAGTAACCAGCTGTGGACATTTGTCGGTAGATAACCTACTGTGGATGTGTACTTGAGTATTCACGCGACAACACTGTCTACATGGCTACCAGTTATGGACGTTTGACGGTGGATAACCAATTGTGGATGTGTACTATAGTACTCACACCCATAGTTTGTTAAACACTACAAAATGAAATACAAACACTGTCCACACAACTACATCTAGGGAATACCTCCCACTTGTACACCTTTGGTTAATCCATATAAATAGAATACAATTACAAACCAGTGGAATGCATGAACACAAGGGTACACGGTTATGTACATGAACGTTTAGAGATCCCGATCTGGATGAACCCTCGTAGATGACCTAATACAATTATTACAACTCTACAAATAGAAAGACAACATTGTCCACACAGTAACCAATCTTCGAACATTTGTTGGTGGATAGCCAATTGTGGATACGTACTAAAGTAGTCACTCGGTAAAAATTTCCACGCGGTTACCAACTGTGGACGCTTGCTGGTGGATAACCAACTATGGATGTGTCTCAAACAACTGTGGTAAGAGTTTTTTGTTTGACGCCTGAATTGCATCAACTACGGCGCTGAATCAAATAGGCAACGAATAGAACCATTAGATTTCCTCAAATCGCTATAATAACCCTTTTAAGTAACATGATTTGTGTGGATGATTGTGTGGATGACCCCTCGTGGATGGTTTAATACAATTATTACAACTCTACAAACAGAAAGACAACACTATCCATGCAGTAATAAGTTATGGATGTTTGTCGGTGGATAACTAACTGTGGATGCATACTAGAGTATTCACGCGATAACATTGCCCATGCGGTTACCAATTATGGACGTCTATTGGTGGATAACCAACTGTGGATGCGTATTAAAGTACTCACACCCATAGATTCTTATAATACTACAACAGAAAATACAAACAATGTCCATAAAATAACATCCAGGGAACACCTCCCACTTGTACACTTTTGGTTAATATCTATTAGAACTCAATTACAAACCAGTAGGATGCATAAACAAAAGGGTACACGGTCATGTACATGGATGTTTTGAGAGCCCAATATGGATGACCTCTCGTGGATGACCTAATATAATTATTACAACTTTATAGATAAAAAGATAACACTGTCTACACAGTAACCAATAATGGACATTTATCAGTAGATAACCAATTGTGGATGCATACTAAAGTAGTCACCAGATAACACTGTCCATGCAATTACCAACTATGGAAGTATGCTGGTGGATAACCAACTATGGATGCATCTCAAACAACTGTGGTAAGAGTTTTGTCCGGCGCCGGAATTGCTTCAACTATGGCGGCTGAATCAAATAGGCAATAAACAGCCGTTAGAATTGCCTCCCCTTCGACAGCTGAACCAAATAAATAGTGCAAATAAATCATGTTACTAAACCTCTCTTCATCAAAGACAATGCCTTCACTACAGTTTAGGAAAATTAAAAAATAGGGGATTCACAAAGTAAATATTCCTCTTACCTGGTTTTTCAGCTTCGAGCATTTTCATCTTCAATTCCAAAATAAGAATCTCATATTCCGAGACGTGAAAGGATTACAAAACAAAGAAAATGACAAAGAGAAAGCTTGCAACTCAAAATCAATCAAATGAACGGTGACTTCTCGCCGCGAAGGTTCGTCGTCTTCAAGAAGCCAGATCTGTTCGCTGCTAAGGTTCACTGTTTCAGTAAAAGTTGATGTTTTTAAATCTGTAAAAGACAACGCAAGATAATAAGTTAATCCTTACAAAAAAATAAGGGTATAATAGTCTTTTCAATCGAAATAAGTATTCAGGTTGGCCAAATTGCTTTTTCCTGAAAACAGTTTGGCCAAAGTGCCTTTTATTGTAAATGTCTCATTTGTGAAACCAATGACATTGGCACAATTCTCTTTTGGTTCCTCTCACTCTGCTTCGCTAGGTATTTCCTCAATTTCATTTTCTGAGTCAACATGTGACTGTTCTGGTGGCAAAGCTTCAGCACAGAAACCTGGTTAGGCTTCTTAGATATATGATTATGAGGTATGATAGTGTTACATGTTGTAGCTTCTTGTAAACTCTGTGTTAAGGTTACAAGAAGAAGTTACTAGGAATATTCAACAGTTAAAGCCACACAAAATGCGTTTACTTATAGTCGTCGCCACAAACCATCCTCTGTTTCACGTTAATCTACAGTAGTCACAAAGAGAAGAAAGATAAATTCATAATTTGTGAAACCAATGACATTGGCACAATACTCTTTTGGTTCCTCTCACTCTGCTTCGCTGGGTATTTCCTCAATTTCATTTTCTGAGTCAACATGTGACTATTCAACATTATTATACTGTGTGACAAAAGAAGACTTTTGACTTTTGATGCTCCTTTTTATGCCCGTATATATGCAAGTCCAAAGGACCCACTGCTATTAGTTTGACGAATTCAACATCAGAAACTTTGGAGAGAAACTTCCATTTGCTTTTTAAACTGGTAAGGAACATAAAGATTTTTGCTTTTGCTATAATCTTAAAGGAATAATGAAGCAGAGGAGTTTGTGTTCAATCCTCTGTTTTGTCCTCATAAGCTTTGGTGTTGCTTCAGTTTCAGCACAAATATGTACGAACGATGGGTATTTCAGACCCAACGGTACTTACGACGCAAATCGCCGTCTCATCCTCTCTTCTCTTCATTCCAATGTCACGGCTCAAGACGGCTTCTTCTACAACAGTTCTATCGAACAAGAACCGAACCGTGTCTACGCTATGGGGATGTGCTTCCCAGGATCAACTTCAGAGGACTGTTCTGCTTGTATCAAGAACGCTTTGGATGGTTTTATACAGAAGTGTCCTAACCAAACAGAAGCGTATTGGTGGCAAGATCACTTAACGGTTTGCCTTGTCCGCTACTCCAACACTTCTTTCTCAAGAACTGCAGATCTACTCCCGCGTGCACTACGCTACAACACCAGAGATATCAGCTCAAATCAAACGGCGTTCAGGGAAATATGGGAAGAGTTAGCTGGTAGTATGATTGCTTCAGCCTCCACAGCGAAAAGCACACCATCGTCTAGTGATAACCATTACACAGCTAATGTTGCAAAGTTGACAGCTTTCCAGAATATATACGCAGTGATGCAGTGCACGCCGGATCTTTCCTCAGGTGATTGTGATAAATGTCTGCGAGAAAGCGCAGTTCAGTATCAGTCATGCTGTGGTCAGAAACAAGGAGGCCTTATTTTGCGGCCACGCTGCCTTTTCAGGTGGCAATTGAATACGTTCTTTAAAGCTTTTGATAATCTTACGGTGGCTTCTCCTCCTCCTGTGACTGTGCCACAACCACAACCTGCAGGAGACCAGGCTATCACGTCTGACAGTGGTAAGTCTTTCCACTGATAAAACTGTGTTTGTAAGAAGAAGTGAAATATATATGACATTATATCTCTATTTGTCAGAACAAGATAGCAAAGGAATCTCAGCTGGAATTGTCGCAGCGGTTACCGTTCCAGCTGTTGTTACCATCTTGATACTGCTTGTTCTAGCTTTTGTTCTATGCCAGAGGAGAAAATCATACCAAAGAACTGAGATTGAATGTTAGTTTTGTGTGTTTTAATTATCTCTTCATGGTTTTCTTTCGTTACATTGTCCCTTCGCCAAGAGAGGAAAACAAGAAGCATAACTAGTACACTCTTGATTTGCAGCTGGTAGTGATATTTCAAGTGAAAATTCAACGCAATACGATTTTAAGACATTTGAAGCTGCAACAAATAATTTTTCAAGGAGTAATAAGCTCGGAGAAGGTGGATTCGGCGAGGTTTACAAGGTAAGGAGGTCTCTGTTTTCTAGCTTTCTAAGTTTCTAATATAACCGGCGATGTTTGTTTCATTCAATGGCATGTAGGGTAAACTTGGAAATGGAACTGAAGTAGCTGTGAAGCGACTGTCGCAAAGTTCAGGGCAAGGCACAAGAGAGTTCATGAACGAAGCTGTTCTTGTGTCAAAACTTCAACACAGGAACCTGGTTAGGCTTCTTGGGTTCTGTTTGGAAGGAGAAGAAAAGATTCTCATCTATGAGTTTGTTCCCAACAAGAGCCTTGACTATTTCCTATTTGGTATGGTTCCCTATAGTTTGCATATTCAGAGAATTCTTCGTCAGCTTTAAAATGATTGAATGTACATGGAAATGTGCAGACCCTGAAAAGCAAGGTCAGCTAAAGTGGACTCAGAGGTTCAAGATCATTGGAGGAATTGCTAGAGGGATTTTATATCTTCATCAAGATTCACACCTCACAATTATACATCGTGACCTTAAAGCCAGCAATATTCTCTTAGACGCTAATATGAACCCAAAAGTTGCAGATTTTGGATTGTCGACGATCTTTGCAACGGAGCAAACTCGAGGCACCACCAACAGAATTGCTGGAACATAGTAAGTTCTGCTCACAAAATTTGTTAAACCTTTCTGTATGGAATATTAACCAGAGTTGTATGTTTTCAGTGCTTACATGTCTCCTGAGTACGCACTGCATGGTCAATACTCCATGAAATCTGACATTTACAGCTTTGGAGTCTTAGTTCTTGAGATTATAAGCGGCAAGAGAAACAGTGGCGTCTACCAGATGGATGAAACTAGTACTGCTGGAAACTTGGTCACTTATGTAAGCATAAACACCTCAAATTTCAACAATTTAACATCTGTAAACAATATGAAAAAGGGTTCTTGATTGTTCATTGTGTTAGGCTTGGAGGCTTTGGAGAAACGGGACGCCATTAGAGCTGGTGGATCCAGCCATTGGAAGGAATTATCAGAGTGGTGAAGTCACTAGGTGCATCCATATCGCGCTCTTATGTATTCAAGAAAATCCAGAAGACCGTCCAATGTTATCAACCGTCATCTTGATGCTCGGTAGTAACACAAGCACACTGCCATTGCCTCGCCTACCAGGGTTTTTCCCACGAAACAGGCTCGAAGTGGACTATATATCTGAGGGATTAGAATCAAGTCAATCTACAGCAAGATCTGTTCCTTGTTCTGTTAATGATGTGTCTATTACTGAATTAGAGCCTCGTTGAATATTTTCTCTTTTTCTTTTCTTGTTTGTAAATTTGAGTGATGCTTCTGGACTATTATCCTTATTTTGTGTGACTTTAACTCTTGAATATTCATCATAGTTACTCCTTTTTTTTTTAATGTTAACGTGAGTTTCTGTATCTTCCTATTTTGGTATGACTTGCATATCCATATACGTTCTGTGCCATTACACTTTTGCTAAATTTTGTAAACCGATGTCATATAATTCATATAAACCGTAAAGCAAACCGAATAATGATGCTTCTTTCCCTCGCTTATGTCTCACGTCTTATGACTGTATATGCTTATATGGAGGTTTTAGGGCAACTGTTTAAGCTCTACTCAGGATTTTAATCGTTGACATTACCAGGGTTTCACTCTGTTTTAGCCTATTTGGTCAGTGAAATAAGCATTTTAGTTGATTCTATATTTACCAAAGCCGATTTATTTACGAACAAATGATACACTTTTCCATACCAAATTGATGAAGCTTTTAATAGTATGTGATTCAAAACCAGGCAATGTATATGGTTAATATAGCATCAATATTTTATCCCATGTAGTTCTACTTGAAGAAGCTATATACAAGATTCTAGATATTGGATCAATTTAATTTGGAATTTGGTCAAATAGTTGACTAGTTGGATCTTTGGTATGGACCAAAGTGGAGCTAATACAAGCAGGGTAGTTGGGACATAGTAAATACTTATATTACCCTTCATAGACAACAGACAACTAGTTTCCACAATATTTTCTTGACCAATATTACATCTAATCTTGCAGCGGTTACATGTCACAGGAATATCTGATTCATGGCCAATTCTCAATGAAATCTGATGTGTACAGCTTCGGAGTCTTGGTTCTTGAGATTATATGCGGCAGAAAGAATAGCAGCCTCCACCATGCTTCAGGCTCTTTGGTTGAGAACTTGGTCACTTACGTGAGTGCCTAAACATAACACTCAAATCTCCAAAAAAAAAAGTGAACTACTTATTAGAAGCTGATCATTAGACTTTGTTACAGCCTTGGAAAGTTTGGAGAGATGGGTCAGCGTTAGACCTCTTGGATCCAACCATTGCAGAGAATTATTAGAGTGAAGAAGTGGTAAGATGCATGCATCCACATCGCGCTACTGTGTTACTTGTTCCTCAACCACCTGGATTCTTCCTTCAAAATAGACGCAACCAAGAAGGATTTGAGTCAAGCCAATCTACCGTTAGGTCCACCTCTCAGAGTATTAATGACCTAACTATCACCGAACTGGATCCTCGTTGAAGATGTTCCCTTGAGACATTGGAATATTTACTGAAAGCACGATAGAAAACACAATATTTAAGTTGAAACTGCAATGTGATTATTCCAAGTTTCTGTATGATTAGTGAAATACTTATCAAAGACATGTGTTCATACTTATCAATTGGTGTATAATAGTAACCGAAATGTTAACATCAGTCATCTTGATGCTCACTAGGAACCCGAGTTTTAATCAAGGTTTGAATCCAGCCTGCATCATAACCACACAGGTGCGTTCCATTGCATCAAATGAGCTGTTTCTCTGTAAAACCAAATACCTTAACCGAAAGTTGGGAACGGCAAAGCGACAGATAGGTCAATTAATATATAGCCCGTACAAGAAGTTATAGAAGGAGAACTACTCACGTCTCACGGTAACATCACATCCATAAATTGATTGTGCAAAGTCTTCTTATAAAAAATCGATGAAGATTGGTCAATTCCGCACAGCTTCCTACGAGATTGAATATTCAGTTTTCTGGTAAAATTAAATACCTCAAAAATGAAGGTTTTGAGGCAGAAAAAACACAATGGGAAAGAAGAAGATGGACGTTGACTTGTCAGTAGCCGTCTGGTTTATGCTCATAAGCTCTTGTGCTGTTTCTGCGCAAACATGTTTCTACTTGTCTGGGGTTTCCCCACCCAACGGTACCTACGACTTAAACCGCCGAGCCGTTCTCTCGTCTCTTCTTTCTAATGTCACGGCTAACAACGACAAGAACATAACAGAGCATATGGTCTGGAGATGTGCATCCCAGGTTCTGATCGAGACCTTTTCTCCATCTGTATCGAAGATGCTTCAAATTGGTTGATCAACAGATGCCCCAACCAGACAGAAGGCCTCGCCTGGGTGGTAATTGGGATTCCTTGTATGGTACGTTACTCCAACCGATCCTTTTTTGGATCACTCCAGATGCAACCAGTCAGTCACTCGTTCAAAGATACCCGAGCCAACTTGACCGGTTTTAATGAAGATATCCACGTCGACTTGATTGATTTTGATAATACATGGGAGGCTCTGATGCTTCGTATGATAGCCGAAGCCACCTCTTCGCACAACCCCATGTTTTACGGGACCGGCAGACAAAAACTTGAGACTTCGCGGAATATATATTTGTGCAATGTAGTAAAGACATATCTGCGTCGAACTGCGACCAATGTTTAAGAAAGAACGTGGATGAGTATTGGTCGTGCTGCCGTGGGAAACACGGTGTCATTACTGAGAGACCGAGCTGTTTAATGCGATGGGATCTCGAACCATTCATTGGAATTTCTGAAAATGAGATTTCACCACCTCCTCCTCGTGAAAAAGGTAGAACATTGAACTATTGTGTCCACATATGGATTTTTAAACCTCTTACCTAGCCATGCTTGAAGTTGTCTGTGAACACTACACGTACTCATTAGTCTGATAGCTTTAGTCCTATTTTTTTTTTTTCCATGACCGCAACAATGATAAGTGATTTGGACTTGTTCAGATGGCGGAAAGATTTCTATAGGAGTTGTTGTGGAAATCACCGGTATTATCACATTCGTGATCAGTATGCTGCTTTCTCTGGGTTGCTCTTTTTATGAGAAAATCGCACCAAGAATTTGCAACTGAAAGTGAGTTCTTTATTACAAAGATACATTAATGTCAATGTTTTGGAAGTGGAAGTAATTTCAACGCTAATTCCTCTAAGATGGTTACTTATCTTTTGCAGGGAGGTCAAGGACAACTTATAGCACTGCACTACCAAATAATGGTATGAGACTACCGCTCTTAACGCTAAAACTGTTGATCCAGCTTAATACTATTTTAGTATGCCTTCAAAACTGCAGATGATATCGCAACTTCAGGTTCATTGCAATTCGATTTTAGAGCAATTGTAGTTGCAACAAGTAACTTCCAGAATAGTAACATGCTTGGTCATGGTGGATTTGGTGCAGTTTACAAGGCATAGTTTTCTTCAACTCTCTGAACTATTTGTTTGTGTTATAAACTCACGTGCCAAAAAAAATATATATATTGAGTGAAATTGACAGGGAACGTTCACAAACGGAACAGAAGTTGCTGTGAAGAGGCTTTCGAAAAATTCAGGTCAAGGTGAACAAGAGTTCAAGAACGAGGTGCTTCTTGTATCTTGTCAGGCTTCTAGGGTTCTCTGTCCAAGGAGAAGAAAAGATACTCATCTACAAAATTGTGCCCAACAAGAGTCTCGACTACTTTATCTTTGGTAAGAAACAAGTGATAAGCTTTATATTCACCAAATCTCACCAGTTCTTGAAATCATAGGCATAGTCTAATGGTTCCACACATTGGATGTGCAGACCCTGTAAAGAGGGGCCAAGTGGATTGGAGAACACGGTACAACATTATCAAAGGAATCACTCGAGGGCTTTTATATCTTCATCAAGATTCACGGTTCACAGTCCTACATCGTGACCTAAAAGCCAGCAACATTCTCTTAAATGCCGATATGAATCTGAAAATTGCTGATTTTGGGCTAGCAAGAAATTTCAGAGTGGACCAAACTGAAGCCAGCACAAGATGAGTAGTTGGAACAGGAACAGTGTAAATGATATATCATGGTTTTTATGGTATTTAATCATGATATAAGTTTTTTTTATTGAGTTTTTTTTTTAAAGTCCTAGTAGAGTCTTTGGTTATAGCATGTTTGGAGCATAATTAGAGATATTGAAGCCTTTTGGAGCATTGCAAGATACGAAGTGTGCAACTCGGAAGGATGATTTGGACTTGGGTGACACTCGTCACCAGTAGAAGAAGGAGTCATGGCCTGGTTTTTAAAACATTAGGAAGAAATTGCAGTTCTGGCCCAGAAGTTCTAGTATTTGCAAAAAGGCGTCAGATCGTGTTTTACCTTGTATATTAGGTTTTTCAGCCATTCTTTTGGCAGATATCTTGTATCTTATTCTTTTTGAGAGCTTTAGAGAGAGATTTGTAGCAGAGCTTTTGGAGAGACAAATCAGACTCCTTTAGAGTAGATTTCGAACTCTTTCATATTTACTTCTTATTTTTTTTATGCAATCTATTCTTTTCATGATGTTTGTTTCATTCACCATGTCTGAGTAGTTTGTTAGTTAAGTTAGGGCTTTTCAAAGGTTGAAGAAGAGTTTGTAGAATTGCTAAACTTATAGGAAATTCATTGGTTCTTCATCTGTATTTGCATTCATATCGATTTCTTAGACACATCATCTGGATTTCGAAACTCTAGGTTGTTTGATAGATGTGGGAGTATTATTAATCACCTGAACTAGTATTAGATGAGCAAAACGCCCTAGTGCAAAGATATTTGGCTTAGGAGTTTTGTGAACAATTAAACCTGATCATTACTGCATATTTAGGTTGTTCGGATTTGCAAAGATATTTGAAACTCTGTGATTTAGGCATAGTTAACTTTTGCAATGAGAATTGATTAGTTATACCTTTGCGATTTATGTTCAAGACGGTTTTAATTCATTCCTGATTGCATGCATTCTACACTCTCGGATTCAACCTGCGAATTGTCCTGACTTAGCGCCTTCAGCTTTCTGAACTTTAAGAACAAGCATAGAACGCCCACTTGCATTAATTTTACGATTTCACATTACATTCATTACTTATTGCTTAGCTTAATCTAAATCTACAAATCGCTAGTGTAGTTTACATACTCCTTTGGAATTTGATAACCCCTTATACTACAACTACTTTGTTGTGCACTTGCAGTAGTAAATTATTTGGGTAAAACCTGAGCCCTATCAGTAAACAACGGCACATTTTGAGTTATATATCATCTGTTTGTCTTTTTTCTTTTTGAGTAAAACTGAAAGTGATTTGTGGTATGTTTTGCAGCGGCTACATGCCTCCTGAGTATGTGGCGAATGGGCAGTTTTCGATGAAATCTGATGCGTACAGCTTTGGAGTACTGGTCCTGGAGATTATTGGCGATAAGAAGAACAGTACTGTAGCTTCCATAAAACAGATGTTTCAGTATGAAACTTGGTCACACATGTGAGTATTAGTATTTCTTACTCCTTTTGAACTGTGATCATGGTTCTAAACACATTAGTTTCTTGACAAATAGGTTTGGAGGCTTTGGAACAATGAATCATTATTGGAACTTGTTGATCCAGCCATTAGGGAGAACTATGATAAGGATGAAGTCATTAAAGGCATCCACATTGCACTATTATGCGTTCAAGAAAATCCAGAAGATCGTCCAACCATGTCTACAGTCTTTCGAATGCTCACTAATACTTCAATTACTCTAACTGTGCCTCAACCACCTGGATTTTTCTTCAGGGACAGACCTAACCCATCAGCCGAAGGATTGCCATCTGGCCAGGCACCAGCCTATTGTCATGTCTTTTGCTTGTTCTGTTGATGATGCAACGATCACAAATGTTAATCCTTGTTGAAATTAGAGAGGCTAATGATAAATATTGTATATCCCTTTTCATAAACCAATAGTTATTTAGTTAATAATGTAATAAAAATGGGAAACGCTATAGATGGTTTGGCTAGTTCGGCTAGTGAACTCAAACCAATGTTTTTCCGGTTCGGTTCAGTTCTGTTCTGGTTCAGGTAAGTTAAATTGCTCACACCTTTGACGGGAAATTGGTCAATTAATTCCTAAACTATTTGCAATAGGCAATTTTATTCCTCATCTATTAATTGTGCAGATTAATTCCTCATGTCTGAGTTGACTATGCAAAATGAGGATTAAGAAAGTCAACAATTAAAAACTAAACAGGAGTCATTAATATTAATTCCCAGACCAAACGAGATTTTCAGTCTAAACACAGAAATTCCCAATTCTCTAACCTAAAGCGATTTATGGCCTGAGAGGACGAAATCCGGCAAGAGCTGTGAAAATCCGACAAAGAGAAAGAAATCCGACATCAAAGGAGATGACAAACATCATGAAGAACAAGAAGATCTGTCTAAATATGTAAGTGGTTACTCTTTCTCATAGCATCGATTGATGGATTGAATAGTTGATGGAATGATAGAACTGAAACCGATTAAATGTAGGAGGAGATAAGTTCCAAATGTAGAAATGAATTCGGTAATTCCTATGGCGATGGGTTCTTCAATGGAGCAAAAGGATTTCCTAAAAAATATGTTTGTGGAAGTGATGTTAGGATCTATATATCACATTCAATAGATAATCTTGGGCATCCATACTTTCGTTGTATTGCTTCTCGACAGGTGAATCCTAATTCGTTTGTCTTCATCAATTAGAGCTTGTTTCCCCTTGTTTGTGATAATACTAAACTAACCTCTTGTTTGTTAATCTTAGAAATGACATATATTCAAACTGGTGAAAGATGGAATGTATGAAGAAGTGAATGAGTTGAAGGGTGATGAAATGATTGTACTGAAAGAGCTCAAGATTGAGATCGAAAATGTGAAAGAAGAGGTCCTACAATGCAAGAAAGAGCTAAGCAAATTCAAAATTAAGAACATGGCGCTTGCTGCTTGTTTGTGTGTTTTGGCTTTTGTGATCATCTACCACATCGTGTCTCAGCAAAAAGAAAGAATCACTATTGTATTTGGTAACTAATTTGTGTTTATTAGATGATGAGAAGATATAAGAAATTATGTATGAGTTTTTGAGATAATGTAAGAGATGATGTATGAGTTTTGGAGATAAAGTATCCAAGCTTGATATTTTATGATGAATTTACGACATGACCATTTGTATTTCGACACTTTGGTGATAAACTTTTCAAGTAAAATTGCCCAATAATAAGTTTTAAGACAAGCTTCTGAGCCATTAAAACAATCCAATACAAGTAGACATTAAAACATAAGGAAATCCTAAAAGCAATTTTGAGTCATTAAAACAAGTAGAAACTACATAAAACATAGGAAAATCCTAAAACCAAATTCGATTAGTGCTAAAAACACAAGTGCTCTCGTGCACTTTGATTAAGAAGAGAAACCAAATCCTTGAGAAGCTCCTGTATGAGATGATTCAGCTTGAGAAAGTCCTGTTTGAGAAGGTCCTGTCTGAGATGACTCTCCCTACAAAACCCAACCATAAATCACAAATCAAACATGAAATCACAAGCCACAAATCACAAATCAAACAGTAAAACACAAATTAAACAGAAAACCGCAAACCGCAAGAAACCACACAACACAAACCAAACAGCAAACCACAAATCAAACATTTATACCCACCAAATCGCCACAAACCACACATCAAGCAAGAAGAGAGGTGACTTCAAACCTGATCTTTTCTTGGACGACCCCTTCGCCATTTTGGTTCAGGAGCTGTTGTTGGGTTACGACACCTTGTCTTATTATGACCTTCATTTCTACAATTTGAGCATGTACCCACACGACCATGGTGTGTTAACTTGTTTGGGTTGAAAGAAGACTCATGAGGACTTTTTCTTCTAGCATAACCATTCCGTCTCCTACGACTGAATCTTAAAGGTGGTGGCAACACAGGTAATCGACCTAACCTCCGCCACATTTTCATTCCTTGTACTGGCTTCTTATCGTTAACATAGATCTGGTGCCATTTTGAATTCAAGTAGTAATCAGATACATAGTCATTAAGCTTTAACCTTATTGTTGTGATGACACACATAGCATGTATACAAGGTATCCCATTCAATTGCCAATAGCCACATTCACAAGTCTTCTCTTCCATATTAACGGTGTAAGCACAACCATGAAAGTCTATCTCATGCAAATTTCATGTGGTCATCCATCTTTTACAATCCCGAGCATTCTGCCTATTAGCTTCAATCTCTTTGTATGTCCTTGCTGTGAATCTTTTCTTCCACTTAGTCGTTAAAACAGCCCTCTTTGCATTTCTCTACATGCACTTTCTCCTTTCCTCCGTTAAAAAATAAAGAAGCGGTTTCTTTCTTGACTCTCTAACATTTCTGTTGAATGACTCTGACAAGTTATTCATATTATCATTGCAAAATGATCCAAGCTTGAAGAAAGCTCGAGACCAAGTCGTTGGTGCTGTGCATTGGAGTGAATCATATGCCCCCGATTATACTTCTTTAATTCTTCTAAATTATCTCCAAATGCTGTTGGTGTATACCTTCTTGCTATTCTCCAAAACAAGCGCTCAAGCTCTATGACTTTGTTTATCTTTTTCCAGTTTTACAGAATATGTCTGGCACACATTTGATGTTCAGCTTTATGAAGCTCAACATGAACTGCATTTAGTATTCCCTGTCATATAAAGAAAACAAAATAAGAGAATTATATAAATATAATTATAACATCAGTAATTAAGAAACTTAAAGTTAGACTCACATTATGTTTATCTGAAATAATTGTAACGTTAGCTCCATCTTCAAGTTCTAAATCTCTTTTCAGATGTTGCACAAACCACAACCAATTTGGATTATCTTCCATCGCCCAAGCAATAGGAAATATCCTATTATCGCCATCTCTACCAACTGCAGCCAACATTTGGCCTTTGATATCCCATTTCATAAATGCAGCATCCAATCCGATAATGAGTTTACATAACTGCCTCCAAACTGATTTTAAGGCTTCAAAACAAATATATAGATGGTAGAACCTTTGCTTGCTTCCAGGAAATGGACCAGGAATGGTCTCAATCTCTATTGTTGATCCTGTATTTGATTGAATGATCACATCCTGATAATCCCAAATTCGAGCAAAATGAGCTTTATGACTAGCCTTTCGTTATGCCGCAAGCACTGCCTTCGCACTCCTGCACTGCTTGCTGCTTACAATCATATTATACTCTCTCTTGATCTCATCAACCATCTCTTGTGATTTAATTTTAGGATTAAGTCGAAGTCTTTCTTCATATAGTTGCGCAATTGCTCCACTCTTTAGAACCTTTGTGTAGCCTGATCTTGTATAAATATGGTTGTCGATGTAGGCCTTGACCAACAACTTGTTTCTGCTTCTCTCAAAAGAGCAGTACACTCTCCATAAGCATTTTTCTTCTATGTGTTTTGTGCACCTTGCCCCAAGCCTATCAACTGATGATTTGTAGAACATAATATTATATTGCGTCTTCAGAGAATACCTGAGAACTGTATATTTAAATTCCTCTGCAGTATTAAATATCTTCCCTAACATTAGCAGCTCATCAGGATCACAATTGATTGGCCTCTCTTGTTCTTCATGTTCCCCATAATCATCATCTGATATTGGATCCGGAATATGATCATCATTCCATACATCATCGCCACTCTCATCAGAACTGTAAGCTGCTGCATTTGCATCTGCATCTGCATCATCATCACGGACAGCTTCATTAAAATGAGCTAACCAATCATCATCATCACAAACTCCTACTTGTACTTCCACAAACTCCTCATTATTAGATTGCAAAGCAGGCTCAGACTCTGTATATCCAGCAGTATCATCACAGACAGCTTCATTAGAACGACCTAACCAATCATCATCCTCACAAACTCCTACTTGTACTTCCACAAACTCATCGTTATTAGATTACAAAGCAGGCTCAGACTCTTTATATCCAGCAGTATCTTCAACGATAACTTCACAGTCATCTCCTTCAAATTCTTCTTCATGCCTACTTTGCTCACTATTAGAGCTAGCTATTTCTTCACCCAGATTGCCTATTTGTTCATCACCTATACTGCCTATTTGTTCCTTAGCAACACTACTTTCAGCCATATTCGCTGTTTCTTCACCATGAGATCTCCTTTCTTCACCAATAGTTGTTGTTTCTTCTTCACACACATTACCATTTGTATCTCATGCCCTATAACCAATTAAACATGTTTCAGTATCTTTATTTTCCCCTATATTAGTGAATCAGAATCACGAGTTCCATGAATTTTACCTTTCTATAACTACAGTTGGGATTTTGGATTCAACCAAATGCGATTGTTGTTGCTGTCTTTAAGTATATATTTTCTTGTGTCTTCCCTTTGTTTCGTAAAAGGTTTTCACCATTTCGATGTTGAATTTCTTTCTTTTTGTCGGATTTTCACAGCTCTTGCTGGACTTTGTCTTCTTAAACCAGAAATTGCTTTAAATTAGAAAATTAGGAATTTCTGTGTTTAGACTAAAAATCGTGTTTGGTCTAGAAATTAATATTAACGAATCCCGTTTAGTTTTTAATGGTTGAGTTTCTTGATCCTGCCTATTGCAAATAATCTGGGAATTAATTGAACGATTTCCCCACCCTTGACTGCAATTACACGGATTTCTAAATGAAGAAAGTAATCCAAACCGGTTAGTTAATTTACTAAACCGGGATAAAAGCTCTTAATCGATGGTTCCTTTCTCTCTCGGTCGGATTGGCTTTGGCGCATCTGTCTGTCTTCACTCCACCAATTTAGGAATTAGGGTTTTAGCATTGAATCTATCTCCCCACTTAATTTAGGAATTAGGTTTTAGCATTTTGGTTCTAATGGCGCCCAATCTCTGCAGATGATGATGTATTAGGCATCTTTTAAAGGTTTCATTTGTCTGTCAGACTCCATTGATTGCTGTTCGTGCTTCGTACTAGCTCTGCGTTGAAATCGATAGATATTCTCAGTTCTGATACTCTATTGAGTCTTCGTAATTGTCGTTACTGCATCTTCGATAGTTTCTGCTCTGATTTGTTCAATCAATTGACAAACTTTCCATTACTTCGATAGTTTCTCGTAGCGACAAAACCAGACGGAAGTTGATTTTTCAACATGGCTTTTTCGAACTTTGTAATTTTTCTTTTTGCTGTCGTTACTTAAATACAAACAATTGTAATTACACATTTGACATAATACAAAATCGTGTTGACTTTTCAACATGGCCTTTTCACTGAAAATTGACTTTAATTGTTGACTTATCGCGTCGCCACAAACCCTCCTCTGCTTCACGTTAACATAAAGTAGTCACAGACTCACAAAGAGGAGAAGCTTTTATATATGATATGAAACCCAAACTTAAGGGACTCGAACCATGTCTTCTTGCGCCTCTTTCATCTTCCTTTTCCTTTTTTCCTTCCTCATTGGTTTCAGAGCTTTTGCTCAAAACCCTTATTTCCTCCAACATCATTGTCAAAACACGACAACTTATTCAACGAACAGCACTTCACCAATCTCAGAACCCTTTTGTCCTCTCTCTCTTCCTGGAACGCTTCCTACTCCACCGGATTCCAAAACGCTACGGTCGGACAAACCCCCGACAAGGTCACCGGACTTTTCCTCTGCCGGGGAGACCTCTCGCCGGAAGCTTGCCGTAACTGCATCGCCTTTTCCGTCAACGAAACCTTAATTCTGTGTCCGAATGAGAGACAAGTCGTGCTCTATTACGAGGAGTGCATGCTCAGATACTCTCACCAAAATATTCTATCGACCGTCACATACAGAGATGGACACATCATGATCAACGCCAATAAGATTTCATCTAATCAAGAAGAACGGTATGTTGATGCGGTGTCGTCCACCATGAACCAAGCTGCCCGTGAAGCAGCGAGCAGTTCTAGAAAGTTCGCTGCGATAAAGACCAATTGGACTGCACGTCAGAGTCTGTACGTCCTGGTTCAGTGCACTCCGGATCTGACCAGGTCAGACTGTAGCGGATGTCTGCAAC